CTAATTTTCGAAATTTTTTCAATTTTTTTTACTTAAAAGTGCCATAACTTTTTCAAAAATGAACATATCAATATAATTATTTTTTATATAGATGCATAATATCATTACCTTACATTTGGTAAATTTTTTTCATAAATTTAACCCTTAACCTGCCCACAAGGAGAGATTTAAAATGACAACTTTTTCACAAAAAATTTACTTTTTCAACTTAAATTTTGAAAATGTTCCGGAAGGTCTGACATTTTTATATATATATTAAATTAAAGCTAATGTAATATACTTTATCATGATAAAAAAAAATTTCGGACTTTATCTTATCTTCATGGTGAAAATGTCTACCGAATGCTATTTTTGTGTGAAAATTTTCGATTTTGTATTTTCCATTTTTAACTTTATTATGCAATAACTTATTGAAAAGTGTTTTGATCAATGTAATTTTTTTATGGGAAATACTATTTTTTAATAATTCCTTTTTCATTCGACATACTTTATCTTAATCAGGATATTAATAAGGAACTAGCAGTTTATGAAGCTTTTGGAGTAATCCACCAATTTTTTAAAATTAAACACTATCTAAAGATTTGCATCGAAGCGTTTTTTTTTTATTAGTGATTTTAATCACTGTCAGATATCATTATACTTGATCCATCTATACCACGTCACCAATTTGCCGCGACCCCCCTGTGCTGGGTTTTTTTTTTTTTTTTGTGTCTGTTACCACTTTTTCTCAGCTCTCACCGAACGGATTTCTTTCAACGATACGTCAAAAGATCACAAATCGTATCTAGTCGAAGACATTACCCTTAAAAATTGAAAAAAATTCCCTCGTTCCCCGTAAATGGGGGAAACCTCCAAAATAATTACAAATTTAAAAATCACTAATTTTCGAAATTTTTTCAATTTTTTTTTACTAAAAACTGCCGTAACTTTTTTAAAAAGAACATATCAATATAACTTTTTTTTATATAGATGCATGATATTATTACTTTTCATTTGGTATAATTTTTTTTTATATGTGACCCTTTACTTGCTCACAGGGGGGATTTAAAATGACAACTTTTTCACAAAAAGTTAACTTTTTCAACTTAACTTTTGAAAATGTTCCGGAAGGTCTGACACTTTTATATATATCTTAAATAAAAGTTAATGTAATTTACTTTAATTTGAAAAAGAAAAATTTGACCTCTGGACTTGTCTTCATGCTGAAAACGGCTACCGAATGCTATTTTTGTGTGAAAATTTTCGATTTTATAATTTACATTTTTTACTTTAAAGTGCTATAACTTTTTAAAAAATGTATGGATCAATACAATTTTTTCATGAGAAGTAGTATTTATATACATCTTTCATTGGATATACTTTTTTTTTAAATNTTGTATTTATATACATCTTTCATTTTTTTTTTAAATCAGACTATTTTCCTATATATGGGAGGGCTTCAAATATAAAAAATGCATATAGAAAGTAGAACTTTTTTAACTTAACTTTTGAAAGTGTTCCGGAAAGTCTGACACTTTTATATATATATTAAATTGAAGCTTATGTAGTATACTTTAATTTGAAAAAAAAAATTTGACCTCTGGACTTGTCTTCGTGGTGAAAGTTGACATCAAAGTTAATAAAAAATTACGATTTTTGTAAAATAATTTTTTTTTATATTTTTAACTTAATAATGCTCTAACTTTTTCAAAAATGAACATTTCAATATAATTTATTTTTATATAGATGCTTGATGTCTTTACTTATCATTTGGTATATTTCTTTTGTAAATCTGATACTTAACCTGCCCACAGGGGGGGATTTAAAAGGACAACTTTTTCACAAAAAATGAACTTTTTCAACTTTTTTGAAAATATTCTGGAAGGTCTGACACTTAATATATGTATCTTAAATTAAAGCTAATGTAATGTACTTTATTATAAAAAAAAAAAATTTGACCTCTGGATTTGTCTTCGTGGTGAAAATGGCAACCAAATGCTACTTGTGTGTAAAAATTCTCGATTTTATTTTTTATATTTTTAACTTTATAATGCTTTAACTTATTGAAAAGTGTATGGATCAACGCAATTTTTTTATGAGAAATAATATTTTTTAATAATCCCTTTTTCATTTGACATACTTTATCTTAATCAGAATATCAAAAAGGAACTAGCAGATCATGTAGCTTTTAGAATAATACACCAATTTTTTAAAATTGAACACTATCTAAAGATTTGCATCGAAGCGTTTTTTTTGATAGTGATATTAATCACTGTGAATGTATGATTTAATTAGGAAGAGTCATTAACTCATTAGCTCAAATAATAGTGCACGTGTATATTTTAGCTAATTAAAGTAAATACTTTCAATTAGAAAACATCAATAACTTATACTCGTTAGCGAAAATAATTATTTGTTTATGTTACTGAACTATAGAATAGAATTTGACTCAATATCAAAAATGTAGTTGCAAATAATATTGCACTGTAAATATCTTTATAAATATATTATTAAACTCTAAGTTTAAAATAAACGATATTAAACGTAATATCACTTTTAGTCTAATCCATTTTATTAAACTACTTATTAAGGGGCATGAATTAAGGAAAGTCAATTTTGTTACGTTGTACTCACACATGTAGTCATGTTTAGGTAGCGTTGGGTTAAACGCCGCCGTCATCACCACTAACGTTGACGCTTCCGTCGTCACCGTCTTAATTATCATTGCTCTAATGTCTTTTTGTATTTTAAATTTTGACTTTAACTACTTATTTGTGAGTGCATGGAAATAAAAAAAAATCATTAAGTAATTTTTCTAAAATAGACCTTTTGTTGGGTTTCGTTGGGTTAAAATGCCGCCGCTCTAATGACATTTCACATTTCACATTTCACTGTGAAATTGTGTCAGAACATATATTTATTATCTACTCATGTTTTATTTTTTAATTAATTTATATGTGCTCCTTTTATTTGACATTACGTCTATTTTTTCTAATACAAGAGATGTCAAACTTGATACTTTTCCAACTTACACATAACATTAAATATTTAGGGTGTTCAGTAAGTGAAGTACCAGAATTCTATTGTTTTAATTATTTAAATATCTGAACCTTTTCCTTATTTACTGAACACTTTTTATATTAAACCAAAATAATATAATTTACTTTAAATTAAAAAAAAATTGGGCCGAATACTTATTTTCTATAAAGTGGTCTATTAAAAACACTAAAAAATAGATGAGTAAAAACAATTTTTATATAAAACTACCTTAGGTATTTATCTATCATTTGGTATAAATATATATTTTAAATCTGAGTGTTTACGTGCCCTCAGGGGAGACTCAAAATAGCTTTTCCAAAAATATTAAAATTTTTAAGTTAAATTGACCGAAGACATGTTTTCTACAGTATGATTTATTAAGAACACTAAATATTTATTGCGTAACCCAATAGTTCGGGCGCACAAGGTGTTATAAATAAATATTAAATTTTACAACAAATAAAAACTAATTGTGGTGATGTGAAACGTAAAAGCAATTTTTGTAAATAAATGTTACATTTGACACACTTATATTTTTGTGCTGCCGTTTACCAATCCTAATGGCTATACAGGGTGGCCCACCACTCACTGACAACTTAAATAACTTTTGATCCAGTTAATATTTTTAGTTGATTTTTTTTTTAATAATAGTTATACGTTAGGTCTATAGCTATATCTCATTAATTAATTTGTTTACATTTTATTAAAATTATGAATTATTTTTAAATTTTAAATAAAATGTAAAGAAAAAACCCAAGATAACTATTTTGTAGAGTAGAATTTAAGAAAAATTTTAGTAAAAAAATATCTTATTAATATTGAGTAGTAAATATTCTGTAGCGTTTTGAAGTTTGTGAAAATTTGAATTTTCATGTATTATTTTACGGTATTAAACATTGAAATACGTATTGAGAAAAGGACAGAAGAAAACGCTATCTTTTCAATATACTTTTGAATGAGAGTGATAAGTAATAATTGCCTTATCTAATTTCTTATCATGGTATTTATGCCAAGTTTGTAATGTATACACACTATCATCATATGTATACACAGTAATCATGAAAAGATAGCGTTTTCTTCTGTCCTTTTCTCAATACGTATTTCAATGTTTAATACCGTAAAATAGTACATGAAAATTCAAATTTTCACAAACTTCAAAACGCTACAGAATATTTACTACTGAATATTAATAAGATATTTTTTTACTAAAATTTTTCTTAAATTCTACTCTACAAAATAGCTATCTTAGATTTTTTTTTTACATTTTATTTAAAATTTAAAAATAATTAATATTTTTAATAAAATGTAAAAAAATTAATTATTGAGATATAGCTATAGACCTAACGTATAACTATTATTTAAAAAAAAAATCAACTAAAAATTTTAATTGGATCAAAAGTTATTTAAGTTGTCAGTGAGTGGTGGGCCACTCTGTATATAAATATCTTATAACCCACATCCAAAATAAATTTGAGTCGCAGAAAGAAGACCAAAATCTTAAGTAGAAAAAGCGCACAAAACTTAAATATAGTTAAAAAAACTGAATTACACGTTTTTAAAGCATATCGAACTAAAAAGTTAAAAATAAGCTTAAAACAATAATGAACGAAAAATACTAGTATTATTGTTTTAAGCTTATTTTTAAAATTATTTTTAACTTTTTTTTAAGTTTATTATTTTTAGTTCGATATGCTTTAAAAGCGTGTTTTTCAGTTTTTTTAAACTATATTTATTTTTTACTTTTTAGTTTTTTATGACATCGCTGTCACAGTCACGGAGTGTTTGTTATGAATTAAGACTAGCAATGGATATAATTTCNGAGTGTTTGTTATGAATTAAGACTAGCAATGGATATAATTTCTGTATTGCCCGTTAGTGTGTTTATAAACTTACAACAATGTGTCTTACCATAGATAATAAAGGTTAGAAGGAAAATTCTAAAAAGTGGTTATTAGCTGATAAAATAGGTATTATATGTAACTAAAAGAAGTCAAAATTGTTTTTCCAAAATATTTTGTGAGTAATCTACGAGTTTATGATGAACTGCTCATTTGTTTTACTTAATACAAGCGCTACAGTTTGGAGTAATTTAGAATGATGAAAATATCCCGTTACTATGCCAAATATTTCAAATTTTTATACATACATAATTAACTATTTTTCCGAAAATTTAATGATTTTTAAGACTCCACAGTACCTAGATTAATGATTGAATTTTCATAAAATGTATGTTGAAACAAAGGTAATTGATTTAAAAATTACCTCTGAAAATGTTATTTTAATCCGAGTATTATTAAAATAGTTGGAGCAGTTTATTATATAAACCAAAAATTATATGATTAATCCAGTTATTGGCATTTTCAAATGCCAATATCTCATTAATGATTAGTCAATATGTAACATTGAACAAACCTTGACACGGTCCCGCGGCGTTATCGATACACGGCGCCCCGCGACCTGTGACACTTTTATCAACGGAAGCCCTAATACGTGCATATGGTATTTTGACTGACTAATACCGCGTGCGATACGCCACGGTACAAAGTCCAGCAAGTGGCGCACGACCATCTATGACCCGCCGCAAATATACGTTTAATAATCTCCGTAGTGATGGTAAACAGCTATTTTTTTTTTAACATCTGCTAATGCTATTGCTATTTTAAAATAGCAGTAGAAAATAGCAGCTATTGCTATTTTGTAAAAACAGCTGATAGCTTAATGATTATCATTAATTTTTAGTTATTAGCAGCTAATGTTTATAGCAATTGACATTTCACATTTCACTATGAAATTGTGTCAGAACATATATTCATTATCTACTAACATGATATTGATTCATATATTTTTCAAAAATTAGTTATATAAAATATATTATTAGAA